ATGATGGATGCACAAGGCCATCACCAAACTTAGAAATTGAGAGCAAATATATTGGGGGAACACTGGTTTTGGCCTATTCTGCAGTTTTTATTGCCTACACTTAAAATACCCCAAAGAGGTCTAAAAATATATAATTTACCCACGGATACCTGCAGATAGTCTGGGTAGTTACCCGAATCCATCAGTTGAGCCCAAATATGGGTGGATTTCGGGTTTACCCGGGATTAGCCTATCCGTGACAGTCCCTAGTTCCGGTAAGCCCCTCCACTTCTATAACCACCCACGTAACTAACACAAAACCACAACCATTGACGCCCACTGGCGATTGACGGCTAGCAAGCGCCCTCCACATCACCATGCGACCCATCCCCAAAGAATGGGCACTCACGATGCGAAACGACCCGAGGCAGGACAGACGCCAATACATGTGTGACGAGGACACCAAAGGGCAAATGACGACGATGGCGAACAGACAAACGACGACGACGGCGAACAGATGAATGACGATGATGGCGAACAGACGAACGACGACGACAGCGAACGAGGGCATACAAATGACGGACGGCGACGACGAAAACACGGTGAGTGGGTGCACGCCCACCACCCACACCCGGCGATGAGGCTTAATACTCCACCCTCACTGCCCACCACCTCCTCTACCTCACTGCCCACCACCCTCTCCCTCACTTCCCACCACCCCTCTCCTTCACTGCCTACCACCCCTCCCCCTCCCTCATTGCCTAACCCCTTTCCCCCTTCCTTTGCCTACCTTTCCCCTTATCTCATTTCCTACCAACCCCCTTCCCCTCTCCCTCATTGCCTACCACTAGCCTTCCCCCCTCCCTCATTGCCTACCAATCCCCTTCCCCCCCTCATTGCCTACCACCCACCTCCTTCCCCTCTCTCTCCCCCTTTGCCTACTACCCCTCCTTAATTGCTTACCACCCCTTTCCCCTCTCCCTCATTGCCCATCACCCTCACCCCTCTTCCTCATTGCCTACCACCTCCCACACTCCCTCTTCCCTTGATTTGATAGTTAATGTAGGAATGTAAATTTATGTAGGCATATTGAATACATGAATTCTACAGTATATCTTGGTAATAAATCCTGCTTCAAGATATATGTTTGAAAGATATTCCTGGTTTCAGATAAAGTTGTAAGATATATCTTGGTAATATATCCTGGTTCAAGATCTAGTTGAAAAATATATCCTATAGTTGAAAGATATATCCTGGTTCAGGATATAGTTGAAATATATGTCTTTTGAATAGATCCTGGGTCAAGATATAGTTGGAAGATATATCCTAGTCCAAGATATATTAGGATATAGTTTAAAAATATATCTTGGTTGAGAATGGATGACTTTCTGTAAGGTTTTTAATACAACATATCATATTTCGGTGGCACATCAGAGATCAAATGTCAGCTTCATCGTTTAATCTATTCATGTTGACCCTCTGCAAGCAAGATGATTATATTTATTGTTTGTTTCCCAATATTTTGTGCTGCATGGTATTCTGCAGTTAATTACATTGTTTACAATACCTGATGTAGACAGGCCATCATTTACTATTAAATAGAAGGTGGTTTGTATGGGGGGAGGGAGTTGGAAAGGAGGAGCGGTTGAGGAGCAGATGAGGTGTGACAAACGGCATCAATGATCAGCCAATGAGGAGTGATGGGCCATAGCCAAGAATGGCTTGTGACCGTTTATTCCAACGGGTTTAATCTATGAGGAGGGGTCTGACCCTATGAACAGATTAAAGTTTATTGTGAGGTGAAAACAGGCATGAATAATATCTCTTGTCCCCATTTGGCCTCGGCAGCACAGCAACAGAGCCAAGGTATCAAGAAATAATCTATTCATTCAAATAAAAGCTTACAGAAAGTCATCCAATGTAGTGGGAGAATGCAAGATATACTTGGAAAATAATGTTCAGGTTATTGTGGACCAATATATCTTGGTTAAGCATACATATGATTGAAATATTCATGATATAGTTTATAAATTATGTATCTGGATTCATGATACGGCTGAAAGTTAGATCTTGGTTCAGGATTGAGTGGAAAGATATATATGGATTCAAGACATAGTTGTCAAACATATTCTTCAGCAATGGGTGTATCCCAGATATATATCTTGCAGTAGTATTCATTCTGAAAATGTGTACTTTCCAATAAATATACCTTCCCAAAATGCATATTTGATGGAGTTGTTTGGGGTGGGATGTTGATTTGGTGTGCATATTTCTGTGTTACACTTAAAACCATACAGATCAGTTGAGTAACAGCAAAATCATGGAAAATACAAGAAGAACCCCCATATTATGACATGGTGAACAGAATTTGTTAGAGAAGAATGGAATTGGTTGTCCATTACTTTACAATGAAAAGCCAAGAAAAAGAGAGCAGAAGGGACAGGAAGAGAGGAGAAAAAGAGGAGCAACAAAGAACTTTGTGAACTCTTGTCTGTGAAAGTGGGTTGGGGGAGATGTTTGACATGACACTGGTGGGGGATGATAATACAGATATTGGTGAGGTATTGAACTCTTGTCTGTGAAGGTGGGGTGGGAGAGATGTTTGATATCACATGTGGGGGTTTGACTGGCAGGGGATGGTAATACAGATGTGGGTGAGGTATGCAGGTACATAAGGTGCAACTGGAGAGAGAAGAAGAGAAAGATCAAAGAACTTTGTCAACTCAATGGTAATACAGATGTGGGTGGGGTATGCAGATAAGGTACAACTGGAGATCTCAGAGCTGAAGTAAAGGCAGAAGTGGAGGGGATTTCTAGGCAGCTAAAAAATTCCATAGTGTGAACTGTATCCATAGTGTCAAAGTGGATAATACACAAGCAACTCAGGAATCTTGGACTGAATAGCTTCAAGGTGAATCACACATGTCATTAAGGCCCAACATTGTTAGAGAAGAATAAATGAATCTGTAACACAAACTATATTCATAGTGTGTTTGGAAGTGGATGATACCACTCAGGTAGATCACAGATGCTATTGATGCCTCTTATTGCTACCTACATACTGGGAGCACAGGCCAGACATAGTGCAAAAACCCCTGGAAATTATTGCAGAATCTCCCAGAATATATATCCCAGACAGCAAAAAAAATCACAAGTTTTTTTGCTGAAACTAGGACCCCTGACACCCCTATGGACCAGAAAAATATATCCTTACCACATCTGTTTCACAAAATATATCCTAAGGCCAAGCCAGGGCAAAAATATATTTCTAAGGTGTGACAGTGACATTTCAGGGTCCACTCACCAAAAATATATCCTTACTGCATTTCACTTGCAAAATATATTTTGGCGGTGTGACACAGACATTATAATTTTTGTGTGACATTTCAGGGTCCATGTCTCAAGAATATATTTTAGATTTCAGGGCTTTCTAGGACCCATATATATCTAGAATATAGATATGGTCCATGACATTTAGTCATGTAACTTACATGGAGTTTGCATGACTAATAGTCAGTTGGCAGTGGGTGACTGAAGTGACCAGATTCTGTTCCATTCCATTCCTGCCAATCCTGCGGAACATTCCCGTGTCAATTCCAGAATGCCCAAATTCCGCTGGAATGGTAAGGCACCAGAATAATGAAAATAGCAGGCCTCCCTGCCAAATTTCATTCCTCTGGAATCCACCAGAATCTGCTGGAATGACCGGATTTCTGCAGGAATTAGGGGGGCACTGATAAGACCTCACATTTTCTGAAAAGAACATAGCCTTTATGAGAAAGAAAGACACAGGACACACCTATGAAAGGCCTTTCATAAAACTTGTGGACTTATACACACAGCTCTACAGGCAAGTACCTTAGTTTTATGATAAAGGTGGTAGCCACTTGTGTGTGATGGATGAACAAATGGATAAATGGTTTGAGCAGCACGTGATTGACCCTTCTATCAGTCTGTGGAGTGTGCCGGTAGTCATTGCGTATTGCAATGGTAAACCGAGATTCTGCGTCGACTACAGGAAGCTGAATGCGGTTACGATTCCCGACGAATTCCCAATCCCAGGTCAATCAGAGATCCTTTCTTCATTGTCAGGCACTCAGGTCTTATCTTCATTAGATGCTCTGTCAGGTTTCACTCAGTTGGAGCTACATGAAGAGGATGTGGAGAAGACTGCTTTCCGAACACACAGAGGGTTATTTCAGTTCAAAAGAATGCCATTTGGTTTGAGAAATGGTCCATCCATCTTCCAGAGGGTCATGCAAGGGATCTTGGCACCCTACTTATGGTTATTCTGCCTTGTTTACATTGATGACATAGTAATATTCTCCAAATCCTATGAAGAACATATCATTCACCTGGACAAGGTTCTGGAAGCCATCGAGAAAGTGGGAATTACCTTCTAGAAAGAGCAGTATAGTAAGATAAGTGGTTACGACAGCTGTTTAAATCCACCACATTAAATGGACGAGTCTTTCCTTGTGATGCATAGTCCGTCATTGCAAAGTTGGGCAGCACAGACACTTGAGAACGAGATATAGTGAGAGTAACATCACTTGGACAGATACATTCAATAGACCTGCTGTTCTTTACTAGTGGAACTACATTCTCAGGCAATCCCTCAATCTTGATTGTCTTGGCAGGACGATCAAGCTTTACAAACAAAGTTTCAAGGATTTGTTGTCCACTTGGGCCCAACTTTGCATCCCATCCAACGACATGACCTTCTTGACCTTTTGTTATACATAATTCTGTTGCATCATTATTTCGTATTATAACTGGCATACCAATACACAGTGAAAGTTTTCCAGGAACATGGTCAGAGGCAGAATGGCGCAAGTTCCAAAGTAAATTTTGAAGCTTTGGACTGATAGTTTTGCATACAGCAGTTTTCTTAGGTCTTCCACAAGGCTTTTTCCCAGTGACTGGATCACACTCAACCCCCAGTGTATCCACAGAGTAAAAGTCAGTAAGTGTTTGGCCAGTATCTGCTGCAAAACGTGCAGAACCTAATTCATTAATTCGATCCTTCTGGGAGTTCAGAGCAGTAATGATAGAGACATTTCTGAAATGTTTGTCAGCCAACTTTGGCTGGTTAGGTCGCCTTCCTGCAACACGACTTCTTAAAAATATAATGTCATCAACAGTACATGCTGCATATCTCATATTTTCTAGAGCTGTCCTTAGCTTGGCATCTTCCACTGATTGTGTATTTTGTCTCATATTTTTTCGTAGCATCACAACAGTAGCCACTTGGTGCCAAAGTGCTTTACCTATAGCAGATTGCTGCCCATGGAGGCATCCACTGATGTGCCAACAGTTCCATTGTAAAGGGCCTGGCCTTGGACTGGCATAAGCTGTGCAAAGTC